TCACTGCAGCTGCACATAGGGGCGCTGAGGTGGAAGCCGACGTTGCCGATCACGAACATCAAGGGTTTAGACTTCATCTTGGGGCGAGATTTCTTGAAGCGGTTCAACCCCGAGATCGACTAGGTCAACAGGAAGGCGTGCATCTACAACAACGGGAAACGAGTGGAGCTGCGAAGCTGGACGGATACAGGGAACATACATGAAACGACACTGGCTCGGTTCGAACGGACGGTGAACGAGAGTAACACGGGTTACTTAGCACTGGTTATGGCAGCAGCAGAGGAGGAGAAGCCGAGTTCGGAGCTATCTGCAGCAGTGAAGGAGGTCTTGGAGCAGTACAAGGATATAATGCCCGACGACCTACCTGCAGGCGTACCCCCTGCACGCACCCACGAGCACGAGATCGTGGAGGAACCAGGTGCGAAACCCGTCTCACGCGCACCATACAGACTGAGTCCGACCGAACTGACAGACATGAAGAAACAGATAGAGTATCTACTGGACAGACAACTGTTCCGCCCATCAACCTATCCCTACGGTGCACCTGTCCTCTTCACTCCAAAACCAGACGGCAGTTTACAGATGTGCATCGACTACCGCGCACATAAACAGACAGTTTAAAACAAATACCCCATATCGCACATAGACGACCTATTGGACCAACTGCATGGTGCAACACTCTTTTTGAAGCTGGACCTACGGTCGGGTTACTGACAGATCAAGATGGCAGACAACTCGGTCCACAAGACGGCGTTCCGTACAAGATACGGCTCCTACGAATACTTGGTGATGCCGTTCGGACTCTGCAACGCACCAGCGACGTTCCAGGCGGAAATGAACCATATTCTACGGCCCCTGCTAGACAAGTGCGTAGTGGTGTACCTTGAAAATATCGTCATCTACTCCAAGAACATGAAGGAGCACGTGGAGCATCCGCGGAAGGTGATCGAGATCCTGCGGAAAAACAAGTTCTACGTGAAGCTGTCGAAGAGCGACTTCGCCCTGAAGAAGGTGCAGTTGTGAAGCAAGGAAAACAGGAATGAAATGACTAAGGAAAGATTGGGTACAAATACAACCCTAGAAACCCTGTACCCCATATGTGCTACCCCACTATAGCCTACAGTAACTATGTCATATAAATCTGACACACCCCCAATGGCAAAGTGGGGGAGAACAAGGGGTCACAAGACCAGTCAAGCAAAGCAAAGCAAGCTCAGGGTGGATCACAAAGTCACCACACAGTCCGAGCACAAGAGTAGGGCCAGAGGCCAGTTCACATGCAGGAGTACAGACATATATATAAAACTAGACAAGCAAGAGCAGGCATATATATATATGTCACAGTACAAGTGAAGTCAAGAGGAGAGCAAGTGAGGCAAGACAGGCACAAGACCCAGCTGGGTGCAAAAGCGCTGATGGTCACAAGGCGCGAGTGCCTTGGTGAACACATCAGCAGTGTTGGCCTCAGAGGCCACGTACGCAAGTCGCAACTGACCACGCTGCTGCAGCTCACGAGCAAGGAAGTAGCGGAGAGCAATGTGCTTCGTTCTGTGCTCCAAGCGCTGCTCTCGACACAAGGCCATCATGGCCTTGTTGTCTACGTACAGCACTGGAGGAGAACGAGGCGGCTCTCCAAGGTCAGTCAGCAGGTAGGTGAGCCAGCGAAGCTCCTGTGCAGCCATGGCCCCGGCGTAGATCTCAGCCTCACAACTGGAGCCGAGAACCGAAGACGAGCGAGTAGACCGCCACGAGACAGAGCCGGAACCAAGGCTGAAGGTGTAACCCTGTGACGACCGCTGCGTAGCCTGGTCGTCAGCCCAAGAAGCGTCCGCGTGGCCGGTAAGGACCACTGGACTCCGCCCTCCAAGCACTAGCCCCATGCCCGACGTACTGCACAGGTAGCGCAATACCCTCTTCGCTGCAGCCATGTGCTCCGGTCTGTGTCTCCCAGGAGCAACATAGCGTGCAAGAATGCTCAGAGGGTATGCAAGGTCAGGTCGTGTGCAGGTCATCAGGTACATGAGGCAGCCAACAAGCTCTGCATACGGACCACTCGACTCTACGGACTCATCCGAAGGCAGAGGTGAGAGTGACTGGCGAGTAGGCAGAGGAGTGGCCTGAGGCGAGGAGTACGTGAAGCCGAAGCGCTGAAGGACCTGCTGCACCATGTGTGACTGAGTCAAGGTAATGGTGCGGCGTGCTCTGTCCCGAGTGATCTGCAAGCCAAGGTAGCTGCGCAGTTCACCCAGGTCTGTGCACGTGTGTCTCTTCAGCAGCTCGGACTTCACGTAGGCGAGTCCAGCAGTGTCCGCTGTGGCAAAGACCAAGTCGTCGACGTACACGAGGATGTAGAACGGCGGCAGGGAAGTGTCGGTGCGAAGAAACAGCGACGGGTCAGCAGTAGAAGGAGCAAACCCAAGAGCCGCAAGCGTAGTCCTCAGTGTGTCGTGCCACTCACGCGGTGCCTGGCGGAGACCGTAGACTAGCCGTCGGAGGCTCCACTGGGTGCCAGGAGGGAAAGTCCCAGTGAAGCCAGGTGGACGGCGAAGCCAGATCTCCTCGTGCAGGCTACCCTGCAAGAACGCAGTGCTGAAGTCGAGAGAGTGAAGCTCGTAGTCGCGCTGAGCGGCTATGTGCAGCAGAACCCGAAGAGTAGTCATCTTCGGGGTGGGAGAGAAGGTCTGAAAGTAGTCAACTCCCTGCCGCTGACTGAAGCCACGAGCAACGTACCGTGCCTTGAAGACAGGTGGAGAGCCCGGCGGCCGCTTCACCCTGAAGATCCACATGCCACTGACGATGTTCGCCCCAGGAGGGGGAACCGCGTCAACGTAGGTGCCTGTGGACTTCCAGGAAGCCATCTCTGCATCCATAGCTGCCTGCCACTGAGAGGAGTAGGGACCCTCTACGGCCTCCGCGTAAGAACGCGGAGTCGGGATGTCTAGTGCATCCGGGTCTCCCTCAGGGGCAAGCAGTACAGACGCGAAAGAGGTGAAGCAGCCGCTAGACACTGTAACTCCTCCTGCCTGTCCTCTAGGACGTCCGTGCCAAGAGCACACTCACCCCCGACGGACGGAGGACAGACAGACGCAGACTCAGCAACAAGACTAGCAGCGTAGTCGAGACGACAGCGAGCAGCAAAGTCGACGAGCTCAGCGACAAGGGCAGACGCAGCAGTGGACTCAAACGAGGGGTCAGTGACGACAGTAGCAAGGAGACGCGTGACAGTAGGACTGGCAGCACGAAGAGAGTCCGACTCAGGGTCGGCAAGCACAGGAAGAGAGGACTCAGGAGGAGAAGGCAAAGGGGCACGCAGAGGAGCAGTGGACGGACGCAAAGACATCCAGTGCGTGCCAGGGACAGGAGGAGGACGCTGACGTGAACTGCGACCACTAGCGCGAGCAGCACGAACAGGCGACGCGGGACGAGACGCAGGCTCACGACGCTCAGCAAGACCTCCAGTAGGACCAGTGTAAGGAGAGGGAGCAGGCAGTGGAGAGGAAGGCTCCAGCAGGGACTGCGACTGGACAGGCGGTGGACCCTCTACTAGAGGAGAAAGACCAAGAACCTGCTGTAGGAGTGGAACGAAGTACGGCCGAGGCCGCGCGGCAGCTCCAGACTCAGCAGGGACAGCACCAGCACCCTCAGCGACAGCACCAGCGCCACCCACACCTCCAGCGGCAGGACCAACAGCAGTAGGCTCAGCACCAACGCCCTCAGCAGCTCCAGCTCCAGGAGGACCCGCAGGTCCAGCAGCTCCGGGGACCGGCAGCACCCGCACCCTCGACGGTCGAAGAAGCTCCAGCTCCAGCTCCAGCTCCAGCAGCACCTCCAGACGCAGCAGCACGCCTCCAGCGGCGAGCGAACCACTCGCGCAGCTCCTGTGGAGAGAGGGGCTCCCAGCGAGACGCCGCAGCAGGAGAAACCCCAGGCTCAGCAGCTCCAGACGCAGCACCCCCAGGCTCAGCAGCTCCCAGCACAGCACCCCCAGGCTCAGCAGCTCCCGACCGAGCACCCCCAGACCCAGCACCTCCAGGCACAGCACCCCCCGGCTCAGCACCCCCAGGCTTCGCACCCTCCGCAGTAGCACCCTCAGGCCCAGCACCCCCAGCAGTAGCACCCCCAGGCTCAGTAACCCCGCGCACAGCACCCCCAGAGTCAGCACCCCCAGGCTCAGCACCCGCAGCAGCACCAGAGTCACCAGTAACCTCGACCGGGTCAACGACGTCTACCTGGGACACACCTGAGGGGGCAGGAACCTGAGGGGGGAGGGGGTCTACCGGGGGGGGAACCGGAACAAGGAAGTCCGGGGGAGGGGGGAGGGAAGGAGTGCGGTAGGGGAAGAGACGATAGAAGGGGACTGACTCGTCGAACGTGACGTCCTGGGAGGACAGAACACGACGAGAGGAGGGGTGGTAAAACTGCCACCCTGGGGCGTCAGTGGGGAAGCCAAGGAAGACACAGGGAGCAGCACGAGGGGACAGCTTGTCCGCAGACAAGTCGCGGACAAACGCCCGAGATCCCCAGACACGGAACACAGACGCATCGCCAACCTTCCCCGTCCACAGCAAGGCTGGGGACATCGCAGGCCGAGAGACCCGGGGGTGAAGGTTGAGCTGATGCGCCGCGTACCTCACCGCAAACGGCCACAGAAAATGGGGGGCAGCCGCATGCATCATGGACGTACGAGCGACATCCATGACCATGCCAATGCGGCGCTCAGCAATCCCATTTTGCTGTGGTGAGTCCGGAAGCGTGAAGGTCTGGCGGATCCCCCGTGCACGACAGTAGTCTCGCAGAAGGCGAGAAGAGAACTCTCCGCCTCTGTCAGAGTGCAGACGCAGAACAGGAAAGTCCGAGCCGAAGCTCTTCCTGAGCTGGAGACGAGCCTCGCGGATCCAGTCGATCAGCACCTCAGTGACCGCACCCTTGCTGCGCAAGGGGAGGACTGTGGTGTAACGCGAGTAGTCGTCAACCACCAACAGGAAGTAGCGCTCGTAACCCTACCCACGGACGGGGGCTGGGCCCCACACATCCATGTGAAGCGTCTGCAGGGGAGCCTCTGTCGGGGGGAAGTGGGAGGAGTGAGGAGTAGCCCGGAGGCGACCCTCGACACAGGGGACACAGGAAGGTCCTGGCCCGGAGGGGAGAGGAGGGAGAGACTGGGGAAGACCAGAGACAAGGACTCGGGAAGCCATGCTCCGAAGACGGGGCAACGAGGGGTGGCCAAGATGGTGGTGCCACAGGAGAGTCTCGTGAGACAGGAGGCGACAAGAACAGGGGGCAGACTCAGGACCTGACCGGGACGCAGCAGCAAGTACCTGACCCGACGCAGCCACCTGACCAGACGCAGGGACAGGAGGAGACTCAACGGTCAGGGTGTAGAGACTCGACCCCGGCCGACGCGAGAACGTGGCCAGGTGTCGGCCTGTGCGTGTCTCCGTGCAGTGGGTCACCCGCTGACTCGTAGGAGTGAACTGGTGAACACCCACATCCTGCAGGTCCGCTCCACTCACCAAGTTCGTAGAGAACGAGGGAAGGTACAGACCCGACAGGGTGCCCGAAGGGGCAGCCGGACACGGGAGGACAGTGGAGAAGTGAGACAGGACAGAACCCCCAGAGGGGTCAGCAAGGGAGACTGCAACCGGCCGGCCGAGCGGCGTAAGGGTAGTGCGGTCTCGAAAGAAGGAGCGAGAAGCTCCGGAGTCAAGTGTGAAAGTGAGGGAGGACGAGGACGACTCAGTACCTGAGAGCGCAGTCTCACCAGTACCTGAGAGCGCAGACGCACTGGCACCTAGAGCAGCAGCCTCACAAGCACCTAGCGCAGCAGTACCAATGCCCGGGTCGGGCTGGAAACAGCGGTAACCCTCATTCTCCTCACTATAATCCACAACATACATAGCAGTAAGGATAGCATCAAAATCAAGATCAAAGATCGCTACACCAGCCCTGAGAAGCTCATCCCAGCGAGGGATCTCACTAGCCCCAGGGAACTGCTGACGCCAGGCGTCCGTCAGGCGGCCAAAGCAGCGCTGGGTGGCGTGGGCACCCCCACACTGCTCACCCCGCGCGGTCGCCGGAACGAAGAACGTAGGTGCAGGGACCAGTACCCCCACCCCTCTGACGCCCAGCGTACCACTCACGAAGCTGCTGAGGCGAAGGGATGTCCCGAGAGCGCTGCTGCTGCTGCCGCTGCGAGCGCTGGCCACCACCACCGCCGCTACGCTGCTGGGTACCACCCCGACCAGCTCCACCCCCTCCACCACCACTGCCTCCTCCGCTGCCGCCTCCACCGCCTCCACCTCCGCCGCCTCCACCTCCGCCGCTGCCTCCACCACCACCGCTGGCACCACCACCACCGTCTCCGCCGCTGCTGCCACCACCACCACCACCCCCGCCACTAGTCCCGCCGCCACCCCCACTCCCTCCGCCGCCACCGCCGCCACCGCCACCGCCCCCTCCAGCTCCACCCGCGCCCTTGCCCCCCTTGCCCTTGCTGGAGCGACGTCTCCCACTAGGGGCAGACGCCGCGCCGACCGACTCAAGACCAAGCAGGTCGGCAGCAGCAGCAGAGGCAATAGAGGGCAGCAAGGGGGAAGGAGAGCACCCCTCAAAGATGGGGGTGCGAGGGTCACCACGAGAAGCACCTACAGCGACTATGCTCTTCTCCGCTGCGAGGAGGGCCTTCTCGAGGAGGTCGACGGTGAGGGTGGTGGGACAGACTGCGAGAAAGTGGTCCCTGACGACTCGAAGGGAGTCAGGGAGGCGCGCGACTACGTAGTAGAGAGCGATGTACATGGGGGGGGGGTTCTTAGCGCAGAACTCAGCAGGAAGGGCGGCGCGGTAGCGAGTGTCACTAGTGCGGAGGTGCGTAATGAGGTCAGCGACAGTGGGAAAGGCAGAGAGGTCAGGAAAGAGGTAGGGAAGCATGAGACGGCTCAGTGCAGCAGTGGCAGGGGAGGAGTAGCGCGCAACTACAGCGTCGTACAAGGTCTGAGCACTCTTGTACTGACTGAAGTGCGCACGCTCAGAGGTAGGGAGGTGGCGACGCACAGCAAGACGTGCAGCAGCATCGCGGGTGGCCCACTTAGAGCGGACAGCGGGATCAGCATCAGCAGCAGGAGCAGGAGAGGCGCCAGAGGTGAGATCAAAGAGAGAAAGGTCGTCAGCCCTGTCGCACTGTAAGAACAGCTGCAGGTCGTCTAACCAGACCTCAAAATCAATGGCGCGACCCTCAGCGTCAAAAGCTAGGACACTAGGGGTAGCCATGGCGTCGACAGCGACGCAGTGCAAGCAGCAGGGAAAGAGCTCGCAGTGTCAGTGGGACTGTGCTCACCAGGCAGGGCAGGTCGTGTAGGTATGCAGAAAGGCGGCTCAGCGACCTGGCGGCTCGGGTGCTGGGCGGCTCGGCTGCTGGGCGGCTCGGGCGCAGGGCGGCTCGGCTCCCGGGCGGCTCGGCGGCTGGGCGGCTCGGGTGCAGGGCGGCTCGGCTCCCGGGCGGCTCGGCGGCAGGGCGGCTCGGGTCCCGGGCGGCTCGGCGTCGGGCGGCTCGGCTCACGGGCGATTCGGCTGCTGGGGCGGCTCGGCCAGGAGATGCAGGGGCGGGGCCGTCAGGTGCAGCGGCGGGTTGACCGGTGCAGTGGCGGGCCGGCAGGTGCAGCGGCGGGCCGGCAGGTGCAGCGGCGGGCCGGCACGTGCAGGCGGCGGGCCGTAGGGTGCAGTGGCGGGCCGTAGGGTGTAGTGGCGGGCCGGCAGGTGCAGCGGCGAGACCGGCAGGTGCAGCGGCGAGGCCGTCAGAGGCGGCGGGCCGCTGGGTGCAGCGGCGGGCCGGCAGGTGCAGTGGCGGGCCGGCAGGAGCAGCGGCGGGCCGGGAGGGGAGGCGGCGGAGCCGCGTCAGGGGAGGCGGCAGGGCCGCGTCAGGGGAGGCGGCGGGGCCGCGTCAAACAGGCGGCGGGGCCGCGTCAGGGGAGGCGGCGGAGCCGCGTCAGGGGAGGCGGCGGGGCCGCGTCAGGGGAGGCGGCGGAGCCGCGTCAGGGGAGGCGGCGGGGCCGCGTCAGGGGAGGCGGCGGGGCCGCGTCAAACAGGCGGCGGGGCCGCGATCAGGAGAGGTGGCGGGGCCGCGTCTGAGGGACAGCGGGGCCGCGAGGGAAAAGGCGACCCGAGGGGGTCGCTAAAAAAAAGGCGCGCCTCGGGGCGCGCTTCGGTGGGCCCTAAAAAAACGGTCCTAAGGCAGGACCCGCTCTATACCATGTGAAGCAAGGAAAACAGGAATGAAATGACTAAGGAAAGATTGGGTACAAATACAACCCTAGAAACCCTGTACCCCATATGTGCTACCCCACTATAGCCTACAGTAACTATGTCATATAAATCTGACAGCAGTTTCTCGGGCACATGGTGAGTGCCGAGGGCGTACACGTGGACCCGCGGAAGATCGAAGCCGTCAAGAAGTGGAAAGTACCGGAGAACGTGAAGGAATTGCAGCAATTCCTAGGCTTCGCCAACTACTACAACAAGTTTGTGCCGCAGTACGCTAAGATAGCAGCACCACTGACCGACCTAATAAAAAAGGATACGCCCTACAAATGGGTTACCCTTCATCAGCAAGCCATGGAGCAGCTACAGATAGCACTGACCACAGCCCCAGTACTCATCTTACCGTTTCCAGACAAGGACTACGTGGTGGAAGCAGACGCTAGTGACCAAGCCGTCGGAGCAGTACTGATGCAGGATCACGGACGCGGTTTGCAGCCCATCGCCTACCTCAGTAAGAAGCTACACGGAGCAGAACTAAACTACCCCATCCATGACAAGAAAGCTTTAGCGATAGTCATAGCCTTCAAGGCGTGGAGGTGTTACCTAGAGGGAGCCAAGACTACAGTCTATACTGACCACTGCAGTCTCAAATACTTGAAGTCGCAGCCGATGCTCTCACGACGACAGGTGCGGTGGGTGGACTTCTTGGAAACTGACTTCCACTACGACATCGTCTACAAGCCCGGGCTACACAACAAGGCAGACGCGTTGAGCCGCCCCGGACATGTAGCAGGCATCCAGCTCGAAGGGATGAACCCTCTGCTCAAGGGTCTATTCCAACGCGGGTACTCCGTGGACGCAGAGATCGCTACAGCACGGACTAAGAAGCTATTACAGTGGGAGAAAGACTTAGGGGTAAGGAAGGGTTCAGGAAAGATTTGTGTACCAAATTACGCCCCGCTACGGCAGATCCTATTGGAGGAGTTTCATGACGTACCTTACGCGGGACATTTCGGGAGCGTTCGTGAAACGACACTAGCACTGGTTATCCTATGAGCTCCTTCCAGAACTTACTCGTGAATTTGGGGTCTCTCTTTGAGATGAGTGTAGCGGGGATGCCGTGGATGGTGATGATGCGGTCGAAGAAGAGGCGAGCAGTTGCTTCAGCTGTAGCTGTGGCATTGGTCGGTATGGAGTGACCCATTTTGGATAACTTATCGATCACTACGAGGATGGAATCGTGCCCCCGTGAGGTCGAAGGAAGTCCTGTGATGAAGTCGAGACTAACGACCTGCCATGGCTGCTCCGGTACAGGTAGAGGCTAAAGTAACCCTGCTTTTTTCTGCTTGCTGCTCTTCATCCGCTGGCATATGTCGCATGAGGTGACGAACTGCTGCACGTCTGCCGCCATCCCGGGCCAGTAGTAATACTTCGCTATCCCTGCTAACGTCTTGTTGCTCCCGAAATGTCCCGCGTAAGGTACGTCGTGAAATTCCTCCAATAGGATCTGCCATAGCGGGGCGTAATTCGGTACCCAAATCTTTTCTGAACCCTTCCTTATAGCTAAGTCTTTCTTCCACTGTAACAGCTTTTTACTGAGGTAGGCGATGGGCTGCAAACTGCGTTTGTGATGCTGCATCAGAATTGCTTCGACTGCTTGGTCACTAGCGTCTGCTTCCACCACGTAGTCTCTGTCTGGATCCGGTAGGATGAGTACTGGCCTTGTTCTCAGTGCTGTCTGTTTGTTCAGTGCGCGATAGTTGATGCACATCCGTAAACTACCGTTTGGCTTTGGAGTGAGGAGAACTGGTGCACCGTATGGAGAGGTGGATGGGCGGATCAGTTTTCTATCCAGTAGATAATCTATCTGTTTTTTCATGTCTGTCAGTTCAGTCGGACTCAGTCGGTATGGTGCACGTGAGACGGGTTTCGCACCTGGTTCCTCCACGATCTCGTGCTCGTGGGTGCGTGCTGGAGGTATGCCTGCGGGTAAGTCGTCGAGCATTATATCCTTGTACTACTCCTAGACCTCCTCCTCTGCTGCTGCCATAACCAGTGTTAGTGTTGTTTCACGAACGCTCCCTGTATCCGTCCAGCTTCACAGCTCCACTCGTTTCCCGTTGTTGTAGATGCACGCCTTTTTGTTGACCCAGTCGATTTCGGGGTTGAACCGCTTCAGGAAATCTCTCCCCAAGATGAAATCTAAACCTTTGATGTTCGTGATCGGCAACGTCGGCTTCCACCTCAACGTCCCTATCTGCAGCTGCAGTGTTGATTTGTCGTGGATGGAAAGCTTTGTACCGTCCACCATCGTTGCTGTAAACGGGGTTTCTTTTGAGGATTCTCCAATTTTCTCCAACGTCCCGCGGTCGCACACCGAGTGGGACGCACCACTGTCCACCAGAGCCTGGAGGCGACGCCCGTTGCAGATCACCTCGAGTACTAGTGGTTGTTGCTGCTCCGAGTATCCGTAGATGGTATCGCTTATAGGATCGTAGGGTACGTAAAAAATGTTATCCCTAGGTCCTGCGCTCGAAGATGCAGCTTCAGTATCAGTTTTCAACTGAGAAAGGTTAGAAGGATTTATCCGAGGCCGATTCGGCTTCTCTTGGGCCTGGAACCTTCCACTAAGCCTTTGCAGCTGTGTAGGCTTCATCTGTGGGGAACAGGGAGCCTTTAAACAGTGCTGCTGGGAGAGAATATTAACTCCTCGGAACGCTCGACCCGTATGAGCGCTCTGGAGTAGGGTCCCCATAATACCCTGTACCGGTTTAATTTCTGACTCTCCCTTAATAAAGGCTTGAAACCCACGAAAAGTAATATTCTTACTTGTCGGGGTATACGGCTGGAGTTTCCCCGTCGGTGCAGGGTCTTATTTCACGGATCCTCCATTAGTCTCGGCAATTTCCCCTGGTGCTGGCTGGTCGTGACGTTTTAAATTTGCGCCACCATATTCTCCTTTTTTTCGCCCTCTCCGAAGTTGCCACTTTGTCCGTTTTCTGCTTCGCGGGTGCCGCACTGTTCTTGTCCTTCAGCTCCGCACACCTTCTCTTCATTTTCCAACACGCCAAGATACGATGTCCTGTAGCGCCGCAAAATTTGCACGTCTCATTATTTGCTAGCCGCTGCTCTACATCGCCCTCGTCGTTCTCCATCGGGTCGGCAGTCGTGGGTGGTGCCAATCGCCCCATGCCACTAGTTGGCTTGTTGCGTCGTGTTCCGTAGTAGCTACTGTTCAACGTGTCGAACTGTTCGATCAGTGCTGCCCGAAACTGCGCCCACGTCCCCTCGCCTTGGACTATTCTGTTGTTGATCCACTCTAGAGCTGGGCCTCGTAATAGTGTTGCTGCGAGCCGTATGCGCATTGCGTCTTTTGTCGGGGTCGTGCATCCAACGGCTTCGAAGTAAATTTCGAGTTCAGATACAAATCGACGAACGTCGTTCCTTTATACTGTAGGATCGAACACCTCCGGTAGCCTCTGCTTCACTGCTTCGAGGTTAACTGTAGCTGCTGCCATTGTCGTAGGTAGAATTGTTGGTGTCGCCGCCGCTGCAGCTGCTGCTACTGTTGTCGCTGCTGCATTCGCTGCTGCTGTGGCGGTTACCGACTGGTTTGCAAGGAGTTTTTTGAGTCGTGGGAGCGCTGCATGTATTTGCTTATGCGCAGCCGTTGGCGCGCGGCGATTTTCTTTCTGGTGTGCGCCCCGAGGCGCGCGGCCCCGCCTCTCTCGTCGCGACCCTGCCCCTTGTCGCGGCCCCGCCCTACGTCGCGGCCCCGCCCTACGTCGCGGCCCCGCCCCTCGTCGCGGCCCCGCCACCCCTCGTCGCGGCCCCGCCATCTCTCATCGCGGCCCCGCCCTTCGTCGCGGCCCCGCCTCTCTCGTCGCGGCCCCGCCCTTCGTTGCGGCCCCTGCCGCCCTTCGTCGCGGCCCCGCCACCCTGCCTTGCGGCCCCGCCGCCTCTCTTGACGCGGCCTCGCCGCTCTTCTTGACGGCCCTGCCGCCCTTCGTCGC